CCCAGAAAAACCATCCCAACAAAATCCACTACAAAAAGAACAGATACGACAAAAACTACTCCAAGATCATCCACCTCAACACAATCCACTTCAGAAGCGACAAGCACCCAAACAACTACTCCAAGAAAGATTACCCCCACAAAATTTACTACAAAAGGAACTGGTAGCACAAAAACTACTACAAGACGAAAAACGTCAACACAATTCACTTTAAAATCAACAAGCACAAAAACAACTACTCCCAGAAAAACCACGACTCCAAGATCATCCACCTCAACACAATCCACTTCAGAATCGACAAGCACCCAAACAACTACTCCAAGAGAAACCACCCCGACAAAATCCACTACAAAGAGAACTATTACCACAAAACCTACCCCGAGAGAAACCGGCTCATCACCATTCCCCTCAAAATCGACAAGCACCCAACCAACTACTCCCAGAAAAACCATCCCAACAAAATCCACTACAAAAAGAACAGATACGACAAAAACTACCCCAAGACGAACCACGTCAACACAATTCACTTCAAAATCAACAAGCACAAAAACAACTACACCCAGAAAAACCATCCCTACAAAATCCACTACAAAAAGAACTGATACCACAAAAACGACTCCAAGATCATCCTCCTCAACACAATCCACTTCAGAATCGACAAGCACCCAAACAACTACTCCAAGAAAAATTACCCCGACAAAATTTACTACAAAAGGAACTGGTACCACAAAAACTACTACAAGAAAAACCACCTCAACACAATTGACTTCAAAATCGACAAGCACCCAACCAACTACTCCCAGAAAAACCATCCCTACAAAATCCACTACAAAAAGAACAGATACGACAAAAACTACTCCAAGACAAACCACGTCAACACAATTCACTTCAAAATCAACAAGCACAAAAAGAACTACTCCCAGAAAAACCATCCCTACAAAATACACTACAAATAGAACTGATACCACAAAAACGACTCCAAGATCATCCTCCTCAACACAATCCACTTCAGAATCGACAAGCACCCAAACAACTACTCCAAGAAAAATTACCCCGACAAAATTTACTACAAAAGGAACTGATACCACAAAAACTACTACAAGAAAAACCACCTCAACACAATTCACTTCAAAATCGACAAGCACCCAACCAACTACTCCCAGAAAAACCATCCCAACAAAATCCACTACAAAAAGAACAGATACGACAAAAACTACTCCAAGACGAACCACGTCAACACAATTCATTTCAAAATCAACAAGCACAAAAACAACTACTTCCAGAAAAACCATCCCTACAAAATCCACTACAAAAAGAAGTGATACTACAAAAACGACTCCAAGATCATCCTCCTCAACACAATCCACTTCAGAATCGACAAGCACCCAAACAACTACTCCAAGAAAAATTACTCCGACAAAATTTACTACAAAAGGAACTGGTACCACAAAAACTACTACAAGAAAAACCACCTCAACACAATTCACTTCAAAATCGACAAGCACCCAACCAACTACTCCCAGAAAAACCATCCCAACAAAATCCACTACAAAAAGAACAGAATACGAAACAAAAACTACTCAAGAACGAACCACGTCAACACAATTCATTTCAAATCAACAAGCCAAAAACAACTACTTCCAGAAAAACCATCCCTACAAAATCCACTACAAAAAGAAGTGATACTACAAAAACGACTCCAAGATCATCCTCCTCAACACAATCCACTTCAGAATCGACAAGCACCCAAACAACTACTCCAAGAAAAATTACTCTCGACAAAATTTACTACAAAGGAACTGGTACCCAAAAACTACTACAAGAAAAACCATCAACACAATTCACTTCAAAATCGACAAGCACCCAACAACTACTCCCAGAAAAACCATCCAACAAAATCCACTACAAAAGAACAGATACGACAAAAACTACTCCAAGACGAACACTTCAATACAATTCACTTCAAAATCAACAAGCACAAAAACAACTCCTCCCAGAAAAACCATCCCTAACAAATCCTTTACAAAAGAACTGTTACCACAAAAACGACTCCAAGATCATCCACCTCAACACAATTCACTTCAAAATCGACAAGCACCCAAGCAACTACTCCCAGGAAAACCATCCCAACAAAATCCACTACAAAAAGAACAGATACGACAAAAACTACTCCAAGACGAACAACGTCAACACCATCCACTACAAAATCGACAAGCACCCAAACATCTACTCAAAGAAAAACCACCTCAACACAATTCACTTCAAAATCGACAAGCACCAAGCACTACTCCCAGAAAACCATCCCAACCAAATCCACTACAAAAAAAACAGGTACTACAAACACTATTCCAGAAAAAACCACCTTAACACAATTCCATTCCGAATGACAAGCCCCAAACACTACTCCCAGAAAATCATCCCCACAAAATCCACTACAAAGAGAACTATTACCCAAAAACTACCCGCGAGAGATACCGGCTCATCACCATACCCTCAAAATCGACAGTACCAATCAACTACTCCAAAAAGAACACACCTCAACAACAAATCACTTCAAAATCGGCAAGCACCCAAACAACTACTCCCAGAAAAACCATCCCAACCAATCCACTACAAAAAAACAGGTACTACAAACACTATTCCAAGAAGAACCACCTTAACACAATTCACTTCCGAATCGACAAAGCACCCAACAACTACTCAGAAAAACCATCCCAAAAAATCCACTACAAAAAGACAGATACGACAAAAACTACTCCAGACGAACAACGTCAACAACATCACTACAAAATCGACCAAAGCACCCAATCTACTCAAAGAAAAACTATCTCAAACACATTCACCTCAAATCGACAGCACTCTATCAACTACTCAAAAAAAACCACCTCAACAAATTCACTTCAAAATCGAAGCACCCAAAACAACCGCTCCAAAAAACCACCTCAACACAACTAACTTCAAATCGACAAGCACCCAGCAACTACTGCAGAAAAACCATCCCAAATCCACTACAAAAAAAACAGGCACTACAAACACTATTCCAAGAAGAACCACCTTAACACAATTCACTTCCGAATCGACAAGCACCCAACCAACTACTCCCAGAAAAATCATCCCAACAAAATCCACTACAAAAAGAACAGATACGACAAAAACTACTCCAAGACAAACAACGTCAACACCATCCACTACAAAATCAACAAGCACCCAAACATCTACTCAAAGAAAAACCACCTCACACAATACTTCAAAATCAACAGCACCCAGCAACTCTCCAGAAAAACCATCCCAACCAATCCACTACAAAAACAGGTACTACAAAACACTATTCCAAGAAAAACACCTAACACAATTCACTTCGAATCGACAAGCACCCAACAACTACCCAGAAAAACTATCCCAACAAATTCACTACAAAAAGAAAGATACGACAAACTACTCCAAAGACGAACACGTCAACACCATTCACTACAAAATCGACAAGCACCAAAACAACCGTCCAAGAAAAACCACCTCAAACACAACTAACTCAAATCGACAAGCACCCAAACAACCACTCCAAGAAAACTACCCCTACAAAATTTACTACAAAAAGAACAGGTACTACAAACACTATTCCAAGAAGAACCACCTTAACACAATTCACTTCCGAATCGACAAGCACCCAACCAACTACTCCCAGAAAAATCATCCCAACAAAATCCACTACAAAAAGAACAGATACGACAAAAACTACTCCAAGACGAACAACGTCAACACCATCTACTACAAAATCGACAAGCACCCAAACATCTACTCCCAGAAAAACCATCCCAACCAAATCCACTACAAAAAAAACAGGTACTACAAAAACGACTCCAAGAAAATCCACCTTAACACATTTCACTTCAAAATCGACAAGTATCCAAACAACTACTCCCAGAAAAACGATCCCAACCAAATCCACTACGAAAAAAACAGGTACTACAAAAACTGCTCCAAGGCGAACAACGTCAACACCATCCACTACAAAATCGACAAGCACCCAAACATCTACTCAAAGAAAAACTATCTCAACACAATTCCCCTCAAAATCGACAAGCACTCTATCAATTACTCCAAAAAGAACCACCTCAACACAATTCACTTCAAAATCGACAAGCACCCAAACAACTCCTCCAAGAAAAACTACCCCTACTAAAGTTACTACAAAAAGAACTGGTACCATAAAAACGACTCCAAGAAAAACTACCTCAACACAATTCACTTCAGAATCGACAAACACTCAAACATCTATTTCAAGAAAAACCACCGCAATAAAACCTACTACAAAAAGAACTGGTATCACAAAACTGACTCCAAGGAAACCCACCTCAACACAATTCACCTCAAAATCGACAAGCACTCTATCAACTACTCCTTCTCAAAGAACCACCTCAACTGATTCAGCCCCAAAATCAGATTGCGCCAAACAACTGCTCCAGAAATGCCACTCCTGCAAAATTTACTACAAAGAACAGGTGCCACAAAACGGCTCCAAAATTGCCTCTACAAGGAACTGTACCACAAACACTACCCGACAAAACTATAGGACAGTTAACGTCAACACCATACACTATAAGATCGATAGGCTCCCAGGCATTCTCAAAGAAAAACCATCTCAACACAATTCACCTCAAATCAGATAATCACTCAATCAATAACTAATCGAGAACGACCTCAATATTTCACTTCAAATCAAACGCAAACAACCACTCCAAGGAAAAACACTCCTTTAGATTTACTACAAAGAACAGATTTACCACAGGCGACAAAAATTACCTCTACAAAGAGGTTGTTACCACAAGCACTACCCCGACAAAACTGCTCCAAGGACGAAGAACAGCGTCAACACCATACACTATAAAATCATTAAGCTCCCAAACACGATCTACTCAAGGAAAAACCATCTCAGCACAGATTCGCATCCAAAATCGATAATCACTCAGTCAACTAATCAAGACGACCTCAACATGTTCACTTCAAGATCGACAAGCGCCCAAACAGCTCTCCAAGGAAAATGCATACTAAATTTACTACAAAGAACTGGTACCACCAAAACGACTCCAAAACTACCTCCAGCACAATTCGCTGGAATCGACAACCTCAAACATCTATTTTAAAACCACCGCAACAATCTGCACTACAAAAGAACTGGTACCACAAATAGACTCGAAAACCACCTCAACACATATAATTTTCAGATCGATAAACATCAAACATCTACTTCAAGAAAACCATCCCAATAAGTACTACTACAAAAATTTGGTACCAAAACCGACTCCAAGAGAAACCCACCTCAACACACTTCCTTCGAAGTGGCATCAAACAAGTACTCAGAAGAACCACCTG